GGATGTTCTGCCATTTTCCAATTTTAACAAAGCAGGTTCAAATCAAAGCGGGATCAGGAGGTAGAGAGAAGTAAACACTATGTAGGGAACATGTCAGTCAGAAAACAGCTTTCTTTTTAACGCGCTGGTTATCTAAATCTGGTGTGTTAAACAAGAGAGACTTGCAAAATGTGCAGAGCAGTGGGTCGTGAGGAAACAGATTTACAACCATCGCTCTAGCTGATAAAGAAATAATACACTTCTGCTTTTCTTCTTCTTCCCATTTTATTAACAGTCATGCATTTTTGAAGCATGAATAATACATCACATTGCAATGTACATTGTCCCATGTGTTTATGGAATCTTTGTAAACAAACACAGATTCTGGAAAATCACTGCAGTGTTAATGAACACTATCAAGCTAGTTTCTTTGTGAAGGGGGATTATATTTACGTACTAGAGCACAAATTGCTGAGTGGTGTTAAAAATAAGAGCGTTGATCTTCTCTGCAGAGGTTAAAACACAACATTACGCAATAATTTGCCTCATTTCACGAGCTGTCTTTTTGCCAGATTGTATTCATACATATTACAAGAAAGAGTTGAGAGTTCCGAGACTTACAGGATGTTTTTATGGTACAATGGCCTTTTAAATGTCAAAGGATAAAGCGAATGCTGATTTCTCAGTTTATGAGCTTTCTTATGTTCTTCTGGAGAAAAAAAAGTCACCTGAGGGTAAGCAAATTAACAGCGAGTTTTCTCTTTTAAGCTTTCATTATGTGGGCGGTCAGGGACAGTATTGATGTTGGCGTGCTTGCTGTCAAAGGGTTTACTGCATGATATGTTGCTATGAGCATGAGCTTCGAAGGTTTAAAAAATGCACCTCATTATGATTATGATATGATGGGTGGGGATTATGGGTTAGGATTATGTCGTTTTAATAGCAACTGAACTCAGGATGTAATCAAAGGTGGATACTTAAAACATTGCACCTTAAAATATTACTATTGGGATATATTTCAATATAAAATCAATCATATGAATGAAATAGCATAGTTTTATTTGAGTAGTGTCTTTGTGTCTGTAGTTTGCTGTAGTCTTTTGGATGAGAGGTTAGACAAAGCTCCTCATATTCTGAGGTCATTAAAATCCCATGACACTTCTCGTAAAGAGCAGGGGTTTAACTAGGGATGGGTATCATTAGGGTTTTAATGGTATTACGACTTTTATCAATACCACTTATCGGTTCAATACTTTAACGGTGCTTCAGTGTCAACGCTTGACTGAAGGACGGTCTGAAGTTGTGGCTGACGCGATCGTCATAGCAGCGTCAGCCAATGAAATCAAGTCAGCAATAGGCCACTGTCTAGCTAGTGTATTTGCATATAGCTATCTGATTGGCTGAAGCTTCCGACTGCGCTTGAAAAGTTGAGCTAGTCCCAACTTCTGCAGTGAGCAACGCCTCTGAAGCGGCGCCGATGGATCCACAATGCAGTTTGGCAACGCCTGACGTCACCCATTCTAAGTGAATCGGTACTTTTTGTATCGTATACCTATACCAATAATTGTGAAACAGATAAATTTTTTTTCCTGTAAAAGAAAGTACAATGGTTTGAAGGAAAATTATGGTTTTTAACAATCCCTCTGGATATAAATCAACATGTTTGACTTTTCTGGTAGAAGTCAGGATCTTTGTTGGTTTCTTTGCTCCTTGCAGTTAAAAAAATACCCTCTTTAAGTTATGCAGTTAAATGAGATAATGTTTATGAATTTTCATTAACGCATTCACATAAATGAGTTAATAGTGTTTCGGGAGTTTTGGAGCATCTTGCAATGTAAAAATAAGCAGTTTTTTTTTATAATTTCTTAATAAGAGTATAGTTATTATTAGGCTATTCACAGGCTATTTTTGTAAATACGGCTGATGTAAAAGCAGTTGTAATGTTTAAGATTTATTTAGGCTATAATATATTAATATTATACAAATTTAGGTGATTGACTGCTGGCATAATGATGAGATTTAAAGTTACCATTAGCAGCTAGGCAGTCAAAAACTTTTCATTTGTCTTTTGCAACGGGCATTGTCGCTGTCCACTGAGGAAATACAGCACGTTTGACTCACTCCGCAAGCTTATGAGCTGTGTGTGCGCGAGTCTGTGTTACGAGCTACATGTATGTGTGTGCTACTGTAAGTAATGTTTATACAGCAACAATTCTCCAGTACCGATAGCAGAACTGTTAACATCAGAGCTTATCGATACTTCAGTCTTTTTCAATGTAGTACTGATATCGATTAAGTATAAAGTTTTGATACCCATTCCTAGGTGTAGCCCTGGTGTCATTGCCAAATTCCCTCTATCAGTCTTTACCGATCATAGCCTCCCAACCATCCACACCCACCAGAATTGGCTCTATGACTATCTCTCATTATTTTGCTTTAGCAGATTATGTGACAAAAATGGGTGCATTTAATGGACAAACCAGCGGCTCGACCACATTGTAAAACATCTGAAATGTTGTTTAGGTCATTCTAAATTCCTTTATCCAAAGTCTGTCATCAAAGTGGTTTGGTATTAAAACCTTCCAGAATTGTCTTGAGCATCTGAGCTCCCAAAGACCATTTTATGCCTCCAAATGACACAGAACGATGCATTTCGGCTTTCATCAAAGTAATTTGATACACAAGAAAAAAGGCCCACTTTGGCTTCTATAACAGCAAATTCCATATTTCCTGTTGACATTTGGTGGTAGTTTATCAGGAAGCTTATTAGACATGTTTCCATCCAAAGATGTGAACAAAATTGGCACTTCCTATATATATATATATATATATATATATATATATATATATATATATATATATATATATATATGTATGTATGTATGTATGTATATATATATATATATATATATATATATATATATATATATATATAAAAAGAAAGCTGCTCTATTAGGAGAAGGCCGTATATAATAACTAACTTGATTCTTAGAACACGTAGAAAAAATGCAATGTTAAGCCAAATAGTCTGGGTTTATGATATAACTTTGGAATCATCTCCATTCGCATTTCTTGGAAGATTTGCGTGTTTCGCTGATGTTTTCTAAAAATGTACGGACCTCATCGTCCACCCAAACATTTTGGTCACTTTCCACCATTTTTGTTTTCACATGATCTGTTGAAGCAAAGTCACATGACTTTTTGATGCGCATGGTGGAATTTATTCAGTAAATGCATTTACACTGTAGTTTATGCACATTTTTTCTATTCGGATAAATTGTTTATCCTACTCAGTTGTGCGCATAATTTTTTTTTTGTGTATTTTCAATATTCATGCACATCTAAGTGTTTCCATCCAGTTTTTTATTATGCTACATTCCAAAATTGCAGAAATATAGGTGAATTGAAACGTAGCTACTGACTCATTGGATGGAATAGGTGCTTTATTCGCAAACGTTTTATGCAGTATTTCAGATTTGAACAAACATCTAAGGGTGCTTTCACAATAGGTTCAATTGCCTGGACTGTACCCAAGTTAGATTTTCCCCCCTTTCTCCCTTCTTGGTTCATTTGTGTTCACATGTCTTTTTTCCTTCTGAACCCCAGTACGCTTGCGTCATCGAGCTGCTGCTTTGTTTACGGCCATTGCTAGGTGACGGTCACGAAAGCAAAGCGGCAAAATGGAAAGATGTCCGTACATCATGGTCATACTGCTTTTACTGAAGCTTTTGGTTTTGGACATACAGAAAGCGAGTCGCGTCCATCTGCCGCAAAAAAATATTATAAAAATTCAGAACATCACACAGTGTCTGCTGAAGCTGTTTTTGGAGGAGACTAGCAAAAATTATCCTTCTGTTTTCCCTGGCTCAGTCCCACTTGTCACTAAGGTATGATACATGACACACACACACACAGACACATACACGAACGAACGTTATGAAAACGATAATTTGTTGTACAGTTGGCGGTTCACTTCCGTTATTTGGTACGATTGTATTCACATCAGAAGTGAACCGTACCAAAGTTCGCATGAACCATACCCCAGACCACCTCTTGGTGAACTTCGGTACGGTTCACAAGTGCGCACCCGAATTCAAAAGACATATTCACACTAGCTAAACGTACCGTACTATGACGTCAAACGAACCCGGGTGCGGACCAAAAGTGCTAGTGTGAAGCACCCTAATTCATCTCTTTGAATGGAAACATAGCTAGTGGCAGCTCCAATGGTGTGAGTATAGGGTGCGGCTATTAGTATACAGTGGAAATGGCTATATTTAAGACAACATGCTCTAATTATGCAATATACATTTAAGTTGTAATATGCATTAACAACTGTTGAGGCAAAAATGACTTCCATTTGAACTATATAAAATATATAATATAAAGAATATGTAACTTTTGCCACAAAATCACTATATTTCTAATAATACATGTTGACAGCTGCAAAAATGACTGATTTCAATGGAATTTCTGTTGATATTCAGTGATACTAAAATGACTTTAGTGTTTATTTCACACTAATGAAAACTGGCAAAGAAACCTACTGGCACAAATGATGTTTTTTCACATTGTTCTAATAATACAACACTAAAGCCAACATCATTTTTAGAGATTTTTTTTGCCTTAGTTTCAACATTGCAGTCACATCCATTATCGAAGGCCGCTCAACGGCGAATGCAACACAATCATCAGCCCTCGGCCACGGACTTGGATCATGTCCATTCCTGTCAGCCAAGCTATTGAATGTCACAATCTGACATTTGAGAACGGATCTTCAAGTAAACAAACACGGAACCAAAGATTTGCTCTGAGGTGGGGTGAGGGACAAGAACTACAAGATCTGGTTTCTTGATTTCCTCTGTCGAAATGATAATAAAAATAATAAAATGATGATAACAATCAGCCTAACACAGTGTTCAGTCTTACATAATACCAGCCATTCCCATCCAATTCAATGTAAGAACTTCTGGTAAAAGCAACAAACTTCAATTTAAAATAATAAAAAGAAATAGTTGTACCTGAAAAGGCGTTTGTCCTCGATAGTTCTTCACGTCTTTACTTGCACCGCGGACCAAAAGCACCCTGGCACACTTTTCCTTCAGAAGAAAAGCACAAGATTAACATCATCCAACTCTATCATAAGAAAAACAACAACAAAATTCTGCTGTTTTAATATCTCCAGCAAAAAAAAAAATCATTGACGCTCCCATCCTACCCGGATTCCAAAAGTGACTTGGAGATTAAATCCGAATGCATAAAGGAAGGGTCTCTGCAGTGATGCCTACAGTATGTGCATGTGTGAATGTGTATGTGCGAACTAAAAGCAGAAAGACAGAGAAAGAGCGAGCCTCTCCAGCCCACTATATCCAGCTGGATTCAACAGCCCACCCACGGAAAGCCTCACCACTAAACCAACACACACACAACATAACACACACACATACACACACCTCCATTGCCTTTTCCTCCTACCTTCCTTCTAATACTAGTTTCACAGCTGCTGCCAGTCCTTGTATATGAGGCATAATCACATGTGAGGATGCTGTTTCTGTTGCCTGTGCATTAAAATATCCCTGGCCTGTTTTTGGCACCGCTTGCAGGTTGATATGGTGACGGCGCGGTCGGGGTTTAAAATCGCAATTGAGGGCCGGTTTAATAACAGTTCGGTCCGGGGATGATCATTATAGGACAGCGCTTCAGATATGATCCTCACCGTATCATATGTGAACTTAAGAAGAGCCTCCATGAATCAATACTTGACATTTGTCTACGGCAGGGTCATTTCATTGGGTTCAAAATAAATGTTATTCTTCTAGCTGTACTGTAAGAGGGGGTGAGATAAGTTTACTGGTTTATAACTGCACATTTCATTGGATTGTAAAGCAAAATGAGGATGGAATGGTATATGATAAGCGGTCACACTTTACAGTAAGGTTTATGTATTTACTAAGATGAACTAAGAACGAAAAATGCTTTTACAATATTGATTAATTATACCGCAATATTTACAAAAGCAATATTAAATTCTAAATTTGCGCACATTAACCGCTGACTTATGAATTTATTTTCAATAACTAATGTTAACAAAGATGAATAAATACTGTAATAGATGTATTGTTCATTCTTAGTAAATATAATAACTAACATTAACCTAAAAAGTGTAAAGTGTTACTGGATAATCAGTAGTTTTTATTATTTAGTTCAATGTAAAGAAAAACAGAAAAATTGCAGAAAATTATTATTATTTTTTTTAAATATTTAAGAATGTCTTTATATTTTATTTTATATCATTCAAGTACTTGTCAGGTGCAATTTAATTTTGTGTAATTCTGTCTTTTTTATTATAAATTTTTTGTTGATCTACATAAAAAATGAGCATATCTGTCCATCCTCCCGTTTTTCCCGGTATTCTCTTATATTTTACAATTCTATCCCACTATTATCCTATAAAAGTATTTTCCCGTATTTCTCCCTTATATTTAATCTACCTATGAAGGGTGGCAATAAACATCAAAGAGCCAATTCCCCCCATGCGCAACCCATACCGCTGAACCACCAGGGGACGCCCCTTGCTCTTAAATGTAAATCTGTTCTGTGCTTTCATTTTATTTAGGCATGAAAACACTTTGAAATAAATATATAAATGGCAAAGTTCCCTTCCTTTCCATTACAGGTGCCGTTGCCCCTCTTATGCAGTCCTCAAAACTGTCAGTTCATATAGTGGTTCATATAGTGACTGTCAGACGTGCTACATATTGATAATTAGACAAAATGCTTTCCAAAACAGATTCCGTACACGCGATTTGAAGCGGAGCGAAAGTGAACACTTTGGGTGCCTGTTTAAACAGACATATACACATACTACTACTACTACTAATAATAATAATAATAATAATAATAATATTGATAATAATAATAATAATAATAATAATAATAATATTTAAACTGTTGATCTTGGTGGATTTTCTGTTAAAAACAACAAATATTGTCTTAAATGAGCTTAAAAGTTAGAAAAACAGTCAAATTCTTTCGTTATATATCTGTGCAGTTTTAGAGTGACACCTCTGTTGTTTAATGTAATCAGGTGAAAAATATAAATGAAAGATTAATTCGCTACAGTTTAATCAGAGTGTTTAAACTATACAGTGAAGAAAGGGTTAATGAGATTTGATAAATTCATTAAATTTCTTTATAATAACGATTATTTTTAATAGGCTAAACTGTTGAATTTATTTGCAGCTGTTTGTAATGCATGCTATTTATTGTATCCTTTGTAAATAATAATAATATTACTGACTGCTTCAGCTGTTTATTTACAATGATAACACTTCAGATGAACAGGTTTAGAAATGTGGGGAATTTTCTTAGAAAAGGGGCGGTGGGTTGTATGGGGATCGCTCATTTTCACATCCCAATGTAGACAGGTATGAAAATGAAAAATATTTATTGGCACCTACAGAAAAAAAATCAATAATATAAGGTTTGTGTCACGATTGATGGTTGGGGAAAAAAGGGGCGAGGACCCAAGTGCAGCAAGTGGTGCTCGCTGCAGAGCCATTTGAGGAGAGGTGAGCTCCAGAGAGGGGGAGCTTAAGCTTGAGCTCCACCTTTTTTGCACTTCTTCTACGAGTGATGTCACTGGGGGTAGGGTTAGGGGTGGGGTTGGTGTACGCATTAAAACAGCTTACATGAGGAGGAGCGACAGCTCATGCTCCCCCTCTCTGGAGCTCACCTCTCCTCAAATGGCTCTGCAGCGAGCACCCTCTCAAGTGCAGGGTAAATAAAGTATTTATTTATAATAAAACTAAAATAAAAGGCAAAAACAGCAAAACAAACTACCCCGAGGGGGAAAACATTAACAAAACAAATAAACAAACAAACCAAACTAGACTGGACAGGCTGGCAGGGATCAGGACTGGATCAGACACACGACAAGGTGATGTACAATGACGAACTGGCACAGGACAGCAGAGATGAGGGGATAATAAACTGTAGTAAATTAACACACAAACAGATGAACATAATTAACTAATAATGGATTAACAAAGAGGCTGGGACTAGACAATAGACGGGAGAGTGCATGACACAGAGACAACACAAGCCATGCGCTCACATAAAACAGGACAAGAACATGCAGCCAATGTGAGAACTCATTAACCGCATGTTCATGACAACACAAGCACAACACTGAAGCACACAAAAGCACGTGACCACAATGTAAACAGAGCCACATGCTTTGACAACAGACGCAAGACACGAGCACACGATAGATACACCTTACCGTGCGCTCACACATATGCAAAGCGCATGCTTCATCTCAGCGTCAACCAAAACCGAAAGCAACTAGACGAAGACGCTGAGAATGAAACAGCGGGATGCGCGTCCGAGGCGCGCTCTGCGTACACCCACGACGGCGCGCGCGCACACAGAGACACACACAATGACAGAAACAGGACAAGACAGGGCTAGTGTCCGGACTCTACCACCAAAACAAGAATTCACAGAACCCTGACAGTTTGACAATTTAGTCAATTTCATTTTTATTTATTTATTTAAGTTTTTATTAGTTTAATTTAAAGCTAAGTTAAACTGAATTAATAAAAATGTGAAATTAGCAACTAGATATAATAAAGATTAACATTTATTTTTATTTTCGATAATTCTGTAGATTCAGAGATAATGCATATTATCTTTAATGGTATATTTTTGCATTTTAGTATCAATCAACTAACTAGAATAACTAGAATCAATTTTATTGAAAAAGTTGTCATTTAAAAAAAAATAAAATAAAATAAAATAATAAAATAATAATATAAAAAATAGTAAAATCAAAGTCTATGAGGGAGAATATTTCCTTCAATTTAATATTACAGTATGTGCCTACTCTAAAATTACCACCTCAAAATATTAAACTCATAGAAAGAAACACATATTTCTCATCTCTTAGATCTTATATTTAAGACTACGGCCGAAAATACAAAAAAAAAAAATCCAACAACATGAAACTAGTCTACACAACGGCTATGTGATCAATACGTCAATCTCCACAGCAAGAATATGATGTTTTACAGCGAGTGACAGTGAATTGAGCAGACAATGGCTCTGACAGAGCTGACGGAGCAGACTGGATCTCCCACAGCTGAAGCAGAAGGTGATTTTCTGCCTGGCTGCGCTCCGTCCTCGACGTAATGGCCCGTTGTCCATTCATAAACACTAAACACTGCTGCTAATAGTCATGAGCGTAACTGCTGATGCCAGGTCAGTGTGGGGCTTTGTTATGGACTGAGTGGAAGACAATGTGGAATAATGAAGAGTGTAATTAGTGGCATCGGTCACTGGCATGTAGACAAATTAGAGTCATTTCCACCCTGAACGATCACATATGATAAAACAAGAGAAAGATACATTCAGCATATATTTGTAAATGCCAGTTACCTATTAAATATTCATTTATTCATTCATTCATTTTCCTTTGGCTTAGTCCCTTATTTATCAGGAGTCGGAATGAACCGCCAACTATTCTGGCATATGTTTTAAGAAGCCGATGCCATTCCAGCTGCAGCCCAGTACTGGGAATCACCCATACACTCTCACATCCACACACTCATACACTAAGGCCAATTTTGTTTGCCCAATTCACATGAGTTTGGACTGTGGGGAAAACCAGAGCACCCGGGGGAAACCCATGTGAACACGGGGAGAACATACAAACTCCACACAGAGATGTCAACTGGTCCAGACTGGACTCAAACCAGCAAACTTCTGGCTGTGAGCTGACAGTGCGAACCACTGAGCCATCCCTATTAAGTATTATGTTTACTATATACAGCTATATGCTAAATATTAATGATATTGTGACTCTGGATCACAAAACTAGTGATCTTTACTTAAAATTCCAATGATTTTTATTAATTTATTTCAAAAGGCCTGAAAGCGACACATTTTCCAGGTCAGTATATTGGTTCTATTGTAGATATTGTAGATGATCCATTAAACTACTCCTCTAACCTCTGGCTGTAAAACCCTTTCTGTAAACCTAATTTTTTTTTTACTACACTTGAGTCTCCAAGAAAGTTTCCCTCTGCACTCAATCTCAGCTCTCTGCCCCCTGCGGCCATCGATTTCTCCCTCCAAGCATTATCGACCGGCCAAGAGAAAACAATGTTTTCTTTAATATTCTCCTATTGACAGTGTGTTTGGTTGTATAACGCCAGTAACCTCTGTTTATTGACTGGTAAGGCAAGACACTGCAGGTGAGTTTGGTAAAAAAAAAAAAAAAAGAGTTACCTTATAGGCATAATACAGAACTTCATTCTTTTTCCGGATAATTTTGAATTGCAGTTTTTTAAATGCTTTTAAATTGTAATACACTATAATAAACATCTTTTAATTAACAGTTTCCATATTTTGTGATTCGCAAGTGTTTTCCATTTATTTAGATTGTGATTTGCATTATGGGACCTTGATCTCTGCTCTGTTGGCTTTTGATGTCCAAAAATTTGACTTTTATTGACATCTTAGTCGCTTGAATTAATATAATGTATAAGAAATAATATACAGAGAAATAAGTCAGTAAAATAACAAAAAATATATTCTGTTAGTCAATAGTATATCATAAGTTTTTGTAGCATAATATACAACACCAACCCCGACAATATATCACTTTAAGCTATTAAAAATTGTAATAAAAGTCAGCTTTTCAAACTTTTAAAGACTAAAAGTTGTTGGACAAATGATCATGGACCCATGATGCCATTTAGAAGCATAAATAAAAATAAAATACAGAAAACTGTTAATTTACGGATTTACTGGGCCATTTATATGGTTACACCTTAATAAAAAGGGAATGGTTGTGCAAACTTATCCCTGTAAAAACCTTACTGCTAAAGAATACTGTACAAATAAAACTTCAAGGTTTGGTGTATGTAAGTGAAATTAAGATTTATGTCTCAGTGCAGGAGGAAAAAAACTCATTTTGAGAAAACAGCTCTAAAAATGGATTTTGTAATGAAAATCTACAGACACAAATAGATAAAGAACAACAAAAGGAACACTTAAAAGGTCTTTCTTAGATGTTTCCTCCACATTTCACTGAAAAAAATAAAAAAATTAAAAAAGTGTTTTTACCTGTAAAGCAATAAAAACAACACAAAATGTGCTTCAAATGAAAAGAACAACTTCAGATCCAGACTTCAGATCATTAAAAGTACAGCATGAGCACATACCTGTTTATAAAGAGCGCAGATATGAAGAGCTGTGTTTCCAGACGCGTTCTCCACATGCATGTCCGCTCCGTAAAACAACAGATGCTCCAGATGCTGAACGTGTCCGTATCGACATGCCTGAAGAAACATACGAGAAACACCATTTGTGTGAGTAAAACGAGAGCTGAAAACTGAAAGAAAGGCCTTAAAAATTTCATGCAGCGGAAGTCCTTTGAAACATAAAAACATCATTAAGCCTTCAGTGCGCTGTCATTTCGGGTTATTCTAGAGTGTTTAAAAGTAAACCACACACTCCGCTTTTGCATTTTCTCAGACGACTGCGATCAAAAAGAAGCTGGAGAAGTGATTTGACTGGCATCTGCAGTCCACCTGTCATAACACTAGATGTCAGTGCGCCGTCACAACAGACGGACTTCTTGATGTGTTCGTTTTTAAACCAGTCTGATCTCATCACCTGTCCGTTAATTGAACAAAGCTGCTGTCGCAGGAACCTCTGGCTGTTATGACTTCCTTCAGCGATGCAGATTTTACAACTACCATTTTTAGCCTAAAGATAGCTTTCAAAAGGATAGCTCACCTGAAAATGAAAATTCAAGCTTCATCAACTCACTCTGGTGTGAGTACTCTGTGTTTACTCACTCCTTTAATATTGTATTGTATACAGAAGTATTTAAAAAAAACTGAATAAATACTTAAAGTGAATTGGTATTTTTAATATAATATGATGGCAGTGGTCCAGCAAACAGTTGTTGATTCACACAATGTTCATTTTATGTTTGTTTTTGGTTAAATTTTAGTTATAGGTCTGTGTAACGTTCTACTAACGTTAATTTAATATTCTCAGAACGTTCCCCTAATCTAAAGCATATCCTGCTGTACAACATTACCCCAGTGAGCCAGTGTGGTCCAGCTAACAATTGTAGATTACCAGAAAGTTTATTTTTGAATAAATTTTAGTTTTTGATTTGTGTAACATCATACTAACGTTAATTTAACAGTCTCAGAACATTCTCAAAACATTAACCTGCTATACAACATTACCTTAGAGAGCCAGCATGATCCAGCCAACAGGTGTAAATTCCCAGAACATTAGTTTTATGTTTGTTTTTGATTAAATTTGAGTTTTTGGTTTGTGTGACATCATACTAACATTAATTTAACAGTTTCAGAACATTCCCCTAAACTAAAATATATCCTTTACCCTGATTTACAACATTATTGTAAAGAGGAGTCAGTGCGGTACAGTATAAACAGTTTTATTTTCTGTTTAATAAAAAGTACAATAAAGTACTGTAAAAACTAAGATCACTCGTGAAACAATGAAAACGTGAAATAACAAATTTAAGTGCATTGTATACTTCTGTATAATATGATGGCAGTGGGAAAATAACAATTTCTGATTCACAGAACATTCACTTTATGGTTGTTTTTGGTTAAATTTTACTTTAAGCTGTATAGAAGTATCTTAAAAATTTTGAGTCAAATATTATTTACTGTCATCATGGCAAAGATAAAATAAATCAGTTATTAGAAATGAGCTATTAAAATTATTATGTTTAGAAATGCGCTGAAAAAATCTTCTCTCCGTTAAACAGAAATTAATAAAGAGGGGAAAAAAATAAACAGGGGGACGAATAATTCAGCAGGGGTAATAATTCTGGCTTCAACTGTATATCTGGTCTATGAACAAACACCAAACCAAAGGCAAATTAACTGTTTATGTGAGTAAACTACATACAAAGCCAATGCAAACGTGCAAATAGACACAAATTATGGCCGGGTGTTGCGGTATAGGTTATACAATTTCCATGTTAATTTCCAAGTAAAAAAAAAAAAAAACGTTAGGGGAAAAACATCCTGTGAGTAAACTAGAGAGAGTGACTCAGTCATTCGCATTGAGTGTGAAAGACATCATTTCAGTCATGTAATTCTGAAAAAACTGTTTATAGTTATGTAAAGCTAATTAATTGGCACTAAATTAATACATGTTTTCCCACTTTTTTGTTTACAAATTGCTGGCTGCAGTCCATGTAATGGCCACCGGTGTCACTTGAAACACATTTCTGAATGTACAGTAGAGCTATTATATATAGTAGCTTGTGCAACAAAAAAATTGAAAAAGAATGAGATTCTAAAATAATGGCTAACTACTAATAATGTAAAAAGCAACGTCACCTGGTGGATCTCGTGCCAGCCGTTTTCATCATGGCACCCGACGCTGGCATGGGCACGCAGCAGGACCTCACAGCAGCTGGGGTCGCCACCTACTGTCACCGTGTGGTACAGCGGGGTCAAACCCTGCCGGTCTTTATAGTCTGGAGATGCTCCCAAATCTAACATTGTCTGCAGAAGGGAAAAAAAAAAATATCATTTTAAAAATCATTCTCAGTTTACCAGAGTTCACACTTTAACCTATATGACGAAGTACAGCATAATGGTAATCACTTTCACAATGATGTTTACAAGCTGACGAACAAAATAAAAAGATTGACAGCCAATCAGAATTCACCAATAATGAGCGCAAGCATTTAAAGTGACAGGCGACAAAACTGCAGAGCTTATAATTACAGTTATCTTGACAGTTATCAGTCTTAGAGTGAAGCATTTTTTAAAGAGGAAGAAATACCAAATAACATCGCAATTATCATTTGAAACGCGGCCGAAGACACTGTATGTATATACATATATATATATATATATATATATATATATATATATATATATATATATATATATATATATATATATATATATATATATATATAATTTTCTTTTTTTTGGACTGAACCCAAACTTTTAATCAATAGTTTATGATTTTTTTGTAATTATATAGAATTAAACTTGTCTACTCTTCAAATATAGGTACTCTACAAACGTATTATAACAACATATAATAGAACAAATTCTAAATATGTTATAGCAAATATGTTGGTTATTTTTGCTCTGGATGACTGAGTAATTCTGTCTAAAATATTATTTTATTATAAAATTTTACTCAACCAAGTAGCTTCATAACCACTTTTGCTTCCTAACAAAATGCAGATTTTTTTCCCTTCAAAAATGATGAAACGCAGACTCTCTAGTAATAAAAACATGGAATCTATGTTTTTATAACATGGAATCTATGTTTTTATCTATGATCTATATAATCTTTAAGTCTTCAAAATGACACCAACTCTTCATGAAGGTTTTTTTTTTATTTAAAATAAACGCTCGACAAGCAATAAACTGCAAGCACAACGGCACAGAGGAAAATTGTGTTTTACAATATTCATGGCACGAAAACAGAAGTAGATCAGCAGTATTACTTCCTATTGTTGTCAAGGGATGAAAGCAATGAAATGATGAAAAAAAATAACTTAATTACAGATTTTTTTTTAGCTAGACACTGTAAGTGAAGAGGGTAAAAAATAACTACAGTAACTGCTATCACCATACTTCTCTAGCTAATTTATTATCTGCAAAATTGTATATTTTGTAGATTTGTTACATGTTTTTTTGCAAATAAGGCATTATTTAATTAAACATACCCTACTAAAATCTAAATAAATCTAAATTCGTGTTTCATTAATGTAAAGTACAAATTTTCATAGTTTTTAGAATAAAATGTTGTATATAGTAGACATTTATGGTTAAATATGCACTAATTTGCATACTAAAATTTAAATAAATCAAAATTCTCGTTTCATTAGTTTTGAGAAATTCTTTTAATCACTCCATTATTCAGAAAATACTGTAAAAAGCTTGTAAAATATACATTTTAATTTGTTTTGTAGAATAAAATGTATATAATAGACATTTATGGCTAAATATGCACTAATTTGCATACTAAAATCATAAATAAATCTAAATTCTTGCTTCATTAATTTTAAGAATTTCTTTTGATCACTCCATTATTCAGAAAATACTGTAAAAAAAAGAAAAAGAAAAAAAAAACTTGTAAAATACACATTTTCAGATTTTCTTTGGTGAATAAAATGTATATAGTAGCCAATTATGGCTAAATATGCTCTAATTTGCATACTAAAATCATAAATAAATCAAATTCTTATTTCATTAATTTTGAGAATTTGTTTTGATCACTCCATTATTTAGAAAATACTGTAAAAAGCTTGTAAAATACACATTTTCATGTTTTTTGTAGAATGAAATGTTGAATATAGTTGACATTTGTGGCTCAGTGCAGAAAATAAAATGTTTTAGGAAAATACTCTGCAAAAATGTATTGTAATTGAGATTTACAAACTCTAATTAATTAAGTGTGACAAAAAGAAATGCATATTTTGGATGTTTTCTTCATATTAGAAAAAGAAAAAAACACTTGAAAAGTTCCAAAACACTTGAAGATTTGAACATCAGTGTTTTTGTCTGCAGTGTCTCGCCTTAATAGAAAGAGAGAGAGAAAAACAAGACAGAGTGTGCTTTGAATGAAAGTACGCTCTGTCAAAGTAATAAATGTTCTCTCTGACACTAAAAGACATCGCTGTACTGCTCTGTTTCACATCTATGGCACCAAAAATAAAAAAACAAAATGACAATCACTGAAGAAGATTGCTCTAACACAGCCATAAAGTGAAGCTGGCGTTCGGGATGAGGTTATTTATTACCTTGAGAGCGATCTGGTTTTTGGCTCTGGCTGCTTTGTGCAGGGCAGTCATGCCATCCCGGGAGCGAAAGTCCAAATGAGACCCGCCGTTCTTTAGAGTCACTATAATCTCCAGCATATTGTCCAAGTGAGCAGCAAGGGTCAGCGGGGTCTCTGTGGACCACAGACACAAACTCATTACTACACGCTGGGGAAATCTCTTTTAATAAAAGCATGATGTTAATTAAAGGATTCATATGCTTCATCAATGGTGATTAGAGATGTATAATACTGGATTATAATGGGCACTTTATTATTTGAATACATATAAATATCTTACTTATTTATGTGATTGCAATGTTTTGTTGAGCAAATTACGTAATTGCTTATAAAAATAAAAAATAAAATAAGTAAAGTATAAATTAAAATAAAATAAATCTTACTGACATTAAATTTCTTAAAGAAACTATATATAAAAATTGATTTAACAAAATAATATAAAATAAAAATAAAATAAAATAAAAACAAAACGACAAAAATATAGTAAAATAAAAAAATAAAATAAAATAGAATAAAACAAAATAAATCTTACTGACATCAAACTTCTTAAAAGGACTATAAATACTGGATTATAATGGGCACTTCAGTATTTGAATATATATCTACATATTTATTTATATGATTGCAAAGTTATGTTGAGAGAAATATTTAATTGCTTACAAAATCGAAAAATAATAATAAATAATAAAAAATAAAATAATAAAATATTAAATAAAATCACATTTATTTTATAAAGTATTAAACAAAATGAATCTTACTGACATCAAAATTCTTAAAGAAACTATATATAAAAATAGATTTAACGAAATAACATAAAATAAAATAAATAAAAAAATAAAAAATAAATTAATTAAACCCAATGACATCCAACTTTAAAGAAACTATATATAAAAATGTATTTAAAATAAAAGATGAATTAATTCATTATAATTAAATAATTAAATGAAATAAAATTAAATAAAGTAAATCTTACCGATATCTAACTCCCAAAAGGAGCTATTTATAAAAATAGATTTAAAATTAAATTATAAGACAATATCATTTATTTGACAAAAAAACAAACTTCAGAATAAAAAAATATTAATAATATATTATATAATTTTATTTATATATATAATTAATTAATAATTTATTATTATTTATTTTTTAATTTTTTTTACTTTTTAATTTATTTAAATTTTATTCTATTTTATTAATTAGCATATTACTTTTAGCTTTATGGTTTACATTTAATGAACTACATCGTGGGATTGTATTGTGATTGTATTGTGAGTAAAACTATTGACCAAAAAATAAAATTACAGTTGAAGTCAGAATTATAAACCCCCCTCGGACAAAAACAGTTTTAAATTTTTTATGAACCATTTTAAGGTCAAAATTGTTAGCCCCTTTAAGCGTTATCTTTTTTTTTTTTTTGATTGTCTAAAGAACAAACCACCGTTTTACATTAACTTGTCTAATTACCCTAACTTGCCTAGTTAACCTAATTACCCTGGTTAAGCCTTTAAATGTCACTTTAAGCTGTATAGAAGTGTCTTGAAAAATATCCAGTCTAATATTATTTACTGTCATCATGGCAAAGATAAAATACATCAGTTATTAGAGATGAGTTATTAAAACTGTTATGTTTAGTAATCTTCTCTGTGTTATCCAGAAATTGGGGAAAAAAATAAGCAATGGGGCTAATAATAATTTAGGGGAGCTAATAATTCTGACTTCAACTGTCTGTGTGTGTGTGTGTGTGTGTAGAGTGTGTAGAACAGCCTATTATACACATTTTTAGCAGTTATCTAAAACATTTTCCCCTACCACCAGTATCAGGGTCATGATAGTTGGGATCCAGCCCTCTCTCCAACATCTTGGCCACTTTCTCCACCTGATGATGCTGAATGTACTCCATAAACTTCCTCAGGTTGACCTTAAAATGAGGTCAGAGAAAGAGAATGAGGTAAAACCAGAAACACTGACAGCTAATGATTGAGGAGGAACTTAAAGAATGATCGAGATGAACAGTTGACGAGAGCGTGAACGGTCTTGGCTTTCTCCTCTCTCATGTCGACATCTCTGGGACACACACACACACACACACACACACACACACACACACACACACACACACACACACACACACACACACACATGCAGCGATACAAGGCTGGATAAAAATAGATAGGAGAGCAGCTCCCAGTACAGAGACATCAGAGAGAGAGAGAGACAGAGAGAAGCACAGCTGATCTGGCTACGCAGACATGCAGAGACCAATATGGCAAGCCATTTTAACATTTCAAATATAAAACATATTTATTTTCATGCTATTAGCTCTTTTTTATAGATACTAGTATATTTTCTATTAAAAGCTACACTGTAAAAATGGTGTATAATGTATTTATAAAACTTTGGTTGCCAATAATACTGTCAAATTTACAACTGCATTGTAAATTAACAATTATAATTGTGCTGTAGTTTTAGAGCAGAACTGTAATTGTTCATTCACAATGTGTTTGTAAATTTTACAGTATTACTGGCCATTTTTACAGTATAACTAGCAATTTTTAACAGTGTGTTTGTAAAATTTACAGCACTACTGGCAATTTTACCGTATAACTGGCAATTTTTCAGTGCGTTTGTAAATTTTACAGTATTACTGGCAATTTTTACAGTATAACTAGCAATTTTTTACAGTGTGTTTGTAAAATTTACAGCACTACTGGCAATTTTACCGTATAACTGGCAATTTTTCAGTGCGTTTGTAAATTTTACAGTATTACTGGCAATTTTTACAGTATAACTAGCAATTTTTTACAGTGTGTTTGTAAAATTTACAGCACTACTGGCAATTTTTACCGTATAACTGGCAATTTTTAAGTGCACTTGTAAATATTACACTATTACTGGCAATTTTTACAGTACTACTGGCAAAATGTACAGTGCGTTTGTAAATATTACAGTATTACTGGCAATTTTGACAGCATTACTCGCAAAATTTACAGTGCATTTGTAAATATTACAGTATTACTGGCAATTTTTACAGTACTACTGGCAAAATTTACAGTGGGCTTGTTAATATTACAATATTATTGGCAATTTTTACATTATTACTGGCTAAATTTATAGTGCGCTTGTAAGTATTACAGTATTGCTGCCAATTTTTACAGTACTTCTAGCTTACAAAATTTACAAGCCCACTGTTAATGAACAATTATAACTGTGCTGTAGTTTTACAGCATAATTGTAATTGCCAATTTACAGTGCAGTTGTACATTGTACAACTGTAAAAATTGCAAGTAATTTGTTAATTAAAAAATAAACTAAAATGACTGAACAAATAACTAAGTAAATTTTACAGTTTTACTGGCAACCAAAATTGCCATCTATTCTCTTTTTCCTCCAATATTTTACAGTACACTAATATTATCCTTGTGAAATGGAAGTTGCTGAGACTTTTATTTCAGGATGTTGATTCAGTCATATGGAATATCGAGTAGGGGGAGGGGATTTCTTTTTGCACATCTTTCTCTCATAGCAAACTTTACGCAGAATTAAAAAATACACTGTAGAAAATTTGGTTGCCAGTAAAACTGTACATTTTACACGTGCTGTAGTTTTACAGCATAATTGTAATTATTAATTTACAGTGAGTTTGTAAATTTTACAGTTTTACAGGGAATTCTTTTTTTTGCATCATTCCTTCATAGCAAACGGTAAAAAGGGCGTGGTTAACAATATTGGGGCTTAAGTTGTCAAACTGATGTCATCAGAGAAAAACCACCATTTCAAATGTTGAAGCAAATGATAATATTTTATTTCAGATTATCAAAACAAACCTATTTTCTCAGTGGATTAACTTTCACGGAATAATTGTTTACCTAAAGGATAGCAATGTGCTCTAGTAAAATAAACATTGTAAATTTTAATTTTACACAGAGTTAAAGAATACACCGTTAAAAAAATTGCTGTATTAATAATGGCAATTTTGGTTTATAAACTTGGTCTTACTATTTTATATTGCAAAAATACTGTAAAATTTACAAGTGAACATTATAAATTGTGAAGTTGAATGACTATATTACTTACTATGCTAAAAACTATTTTAGATGGGGTACACAAGAAAAGAAACCAAAAAGCTACTCTGGCGACATCCATTCATCCTTTTTTATTTACAATCTCCTTACTGCTGCTTTACGGCACTCATTTTAGCATGTGTTGTTATTGTGACCAGAAGTGCGTGGAAGTGGATTCCCTGACCATTTACAATGGACTTCGCGCTCACCCTCCCCTAGCATCTCTCGTAACTCGTCATCAAGCATTTTCTCAGAGGATGAATAACAGACAAATAATTGCTGCAGCTCCGATGCAAGTTTATGGTGAAAAGTAAAAAGCACTGCAGTGTTTGGATGCACTGTGTTTGTCTGAGGTAATTAGTTTGCCATCATTACTAAAATGTGTATATTCCATACAAAGTGTAAAGCAGATTCTGTTAGTTCTACTTACATGAATCGTGGTGTGCTTGTGGCATTTGGAAAAATTCCAAAATGTTTTCAACTAGTTGTGGCTGGAAAATGCCCACATATGCACGTTGTACAAGTCGCGCATCTTCATTGGAAATGACAAACAAACATACACCCTAAGCTTATTGGCATTGCTTTCAAGGCGCACACTCAGTAGCCACATTACAAAACTATAGCGCTTCATACCAAACACTACATACCAAATTTCTTTTTTATCGATATTGACAATGGTATTCGGTCAATGAATACCGATACCGATTTTATCCCCCAGCCGCACTAGTAACTTATATACACTGTAAAAAATATTAGAAAATTAGCAGTTTTCCATATTATGTGATTCATGTTTCTATTTATTTATTTTTCCCCATTTATAAATGCTTTTGAATTACATTAAGTGACCTTGATCTATCTTCCAACAACCTTTAACTTTCAAAAGTCACTAAAAAGTTAACAGTTTTTAGGGTTTAAAGTGATATATTTTCTAGGCTGGTGCTGTAAAATATGATACGTATATCTTATATTATTTCAAACTACTAAAATGCTAGTGAATGTCACTTTGTTAAACTGTAGAGTTGAATTTTCAACATCAAAAGTGGAAATAGCAGAGATCAACATTCCATAATGCAATTCACAACAGTAAATAAATGGAAAATACTCAAAAAATAGAGAAAAAGATAATAAACTATTTTTTTACAGTACAGATGAAATGTTAAAACTGCTTGTTATAACTTGAAGCGCTACTACCTCAAGTCAACCCACTACACACAAGTCCCTCCAACAAAACAAAAGGGAAAGTGCCATACATTATTACCATTCACAAAATATTAGCATTTGCATTATTTAACTTCTGGATCCCATCCTGGCAACACTAGCTTTCAATAATTCACACTTCGATGCCAGCTAACAACTTGAAACCCATTAGGCTATATAACTACAAAGTAGAGATGTCACTTAGCGCAATGACAACCTTCTGCAAAAAGTGATTTGTCAACGTTAGCCTACAGAAATCACCTAAAACTGGTTTAATATATTCAAAAAATGGTGATGTATTCAACCTAAAAATGCTGGGTTACATAGAAAGGTTAGCATACAAGATAAACATATGCAGGGAGATGAAATAACATTTTCAGCATGCAGCTTTGATAGTCGTTCAAAAGTATTCACGTATACTCTGATAAAATACAATTTCTGCAAATTATGAATGGTAAACGATATTTCATAAACACATCAGCTGCGTTTGATGTCATGACTCAGGGTAGCTGCTAATAAATGTCTTGTGTCGTGGTGGTGCCAGTGATCAGTTAGCAAGGTCATGATGTCATTTTCCTGGAGTTTCAGAGTGAGTCATTTGACATTTAGAGCTCAGGTTATTTCTTTAAAAAAAAAACTAGACCTCAGACTGATGTGTGTTCAGGTCCTTCGGTGAGATCAGGTGCATTCTAATTACTAGCCTTATGAAAACGAACCATACCTTTAATACAGATGATACACACAAAAAACAGGCTTTTTTTGTAGTTAAGCCATGGTGAACACAAACGACCATAGCATTTGTAGTAAAATAGGGCTTGTACAAATGATACAGAACTGCTTTTTCACTTCGCAGAACTGTACAGTTCAGCATGGTTTGTATTTCCACTACAGTTTACTAACGCATAAAGTGGGTAGTAGCATTGTACGTTTATATGTTGTGCTGCTGTGACATCATCGCATTCATTTCGGGTCATCCCATCTGCTCCTCTGCTCAGGTACCCATGAGAGGAATGTCTGTGCCTCTTTTACTGATGCTGTTTTCCCAGGTGTCGTTTTCTTGCAGTGGTATAAACAAATTGCTGCCAACCAATAATACCGCAGTGGCTGCTGCTGACTATTTAAATAGAATGGGTTTGGTGTCTCAGTGTTGCAAATCCAACGATGCTGGTAGTGATGATTCTCTTGAAGCATCCGATTATCAGCAGTGTGTATACGTCAAGTATTAGTAACAATATGGCTCACTTTGAACCTCACTCGGGGTGGTCCAAAAAAAAAGGACCAAGTACTAGGTACAGAACGCAGTGGAAAATCCCTCAAAAGTGAGTTGTACCTAATCAAACAACGTCATATCATGCCACCCGCTTCGAATGTTTTCACTCGATTGAATGGGCATTATCAGTGATTATCAGCTAATAGATGTGGGCCAGTAGGGACCTTTCGCGTCTACTAGTAGGCTCAGAAGGCTGTTACGCTCTCGCATTCACACACACACTCATAAACTACGGCCAATTTAGTTCATCCAGTTCACTTATACTGTATGTTTTGGGACTGTGAAGCCATGCGAGCACAGGGAGAACATGCAAACTACACACAGAAATGCCAACTGACCCATGTTGATCTGCTTTTCTTCAGTTAAGTTTTTTACAATTTACTACCTGTGGTGAGTTTCTAGCTCATAACTTTATGGCCAAGGATTTTCCAGTGATTTTCAATCAGGTTTACATCAGGACCATGGGCAGGCCATTTCAATATTTTAGACATTTCAGCCAAATATAGAGAAAGAATGTTGCTGAATGTGATGGCCAGTGTGGTGGCCACACATTGAGAGTGAGGCATGCAAGCAAGCAACCATACACACACACACACACACACACACACACACACACACACACACACACACACACACACACACACACACACACACACACACACACACACACACACGTAATACATAATTATTTAAGATTATTTATTGGTCAAAATTTCTGTTATTGTGTTTATACATTTCGTTTCATTCATATCTGATTTCAATAAGACGCATTCACTTTCAGTTTCTCATTACCTTTCTTTATTATTCACAGTACATTTATTACTATTTTGGGTGCACACAAAATCAGTTATCTGTACTGTATGTTTTGTTAATTTAGTTTTCTTTTGAGTTTAAGTTACCATGCTGCAGTGCCGACGAGGAACAGAGTTTCCGGGTGTGGTCCGCCCAAGTAAAGGTCCGACGTGCCGCAAGAGGCCGTCTTTTGGTTCCGCCTGCCGATACCATTGGCTTAATGGCTTGGAGGGAGAGCTCATGTTTAGTTTAGGTTCAATAATGATTTGCAATGTTTGTTTATTCAGATTTATATTTAGTTTTGCCTTATTTATAATTTATTTAACTTATATTTAGATTTGTATTTAGATGTTTGGCTTAGTTTATTGTATTTGTAAATTGTATGTTTTTGTCTCCCCCTTCTTGTTTAATGTGGACTAGTCCCTGTGCTATAAATGTGGTCTGTCTTGTCATTTCATGGAGTTCTGTTTTTGGTTTAGCCATGATTTGTTTGGTTTGAACTCAGTTTGTTTTCCTTGTTTAGTTTATTGTTCTTTCAATTGATTTAATTATTTAATTAATTTATTTTTGAACTTTTTGTGAACCTTTTTGACTTTATTAAAAATAATTATTTTTGAAAATCTTCTTTTTTGGTATGCCCCTTACTGTACGTGCTGGCTCGGTCCCTCACAGTGAAGAAGCTTCTGATGAACATTTGCATTAAGTAATTTCATATAGATGTATAAGAGGGTTTTTTTTTTATTTCGCTTTTTAGTATTTAACAGTCTAAGGTCACCATTCACTTTAACTAAATTTGTCAAATAACCACGCCAGGTTTGGAATGACAAAGTTGTGTAAATGCTAATGAAATTTATTAATTTTCACTAAAAAAAATCCTTTAACTTAATTCCTTAAAACATATTTAGCACTATTTACAGTGTTTAAACTGCTTTCACAATGACGCTCTGCTAACTTCAACACTGTGTTGATGTTTAATTCAAAAATACTACATTTCCATCGTTTCTTGAATGCATTCATAAGCAAAAACACTAAATTAATTTATGCAGCAACCAAGCAACTCCATCTAAGTTAAAAGAGAATCAGTTTTCTTCATTTTTCCTTGGTCTACGCCAATAGAACTATTTCTAAGGGTGAGTTTAGGTAGAAATAGCTCTTTAAGGTAATGGCTTCCCCTTTCCACTCATTATAATGCAGTCAGATTTTTTAAAAGCAAAACCCCTCTAAGCATCTGCCTCTGTTGCATTCATAATTCACCGACAATCGTTATGAAGCAGGGGGAATATCTGTTCCTCTGAAACAAGGAACGTACACAAAGCAGTTCCTACGTCATCCTTTGCAAACCCTTGTGGCTTACGGAGCTGTAATATAATAACTTATTAAGGGAGCTCGAAAGCTCAGAGCAATGAGAAGGAGAGTTTTAAATGCTGAGGGAAGCAGTGTTGAGACGGGAGATAAATAGGTTGAGCAATAAAGAGGAAGACACTGAGCGTAGCCCAGGACACATAGTGCTGGAAGAAAACGGCAATTAAAACTCGGGTTCGAAGCTTCGGGGCCGCTTTTGGGCGATGGTTGTGGAAAAACCTCCACCGGTGGTTGCAAAAAAAACCCTCACAAGCAAACACTGGCTGAAACGCTAAAATGTCAACATCAATGACCGTCTTGAGCCGAAAGTCCTGCTAAGTCCAAATATATGCAAATTGCGTTGGTCTGCTGCATTATTCAGTAGCCGACTGTAAAATAAATGTTGCATGCTAGACATTCAGTCCTAGCAGTGACTGAATATAAAACTCGAGATATTTCTTTCTTGTTTTAACAGTCGTGTCTTAAGACATCCTTCCCGGCTCGCAATTAAGCAAAAAGCTTTGGTTTGATATGTATGTAAAAGAGTCAATTATCATAACAGAAAACAAGATAATCACCACCGGCATGTCAGAAGTAGACATATTTTTGACAAATATGCAGAGTAGTCTAATTTACATATGTCATGGCTAAATGTTTTATTTTAAAATAATAAGTCTCACCTGTATGTGTCAGTGTTAGTCTATGAAAATCATCTTAAAAGATATTAAAATCTAAAAAATGAAGCCTGAAAATGTTAAAAGTTTGAGTTATTAGCATAGTTAGCATGGTTAGTCCCACTTTTTCACATTCTGCATTAATAGTCATCCCAATGAAGTTATATAATCTGATAAATTATATAATTTGTGCAAAATATGAAGAATAAATATTCCATAAGCCTGGTAAAATTAATTTTTGTCTAGTCAGAAACATTTGATGTCCTAGCTTAGCATATTTGCTAATAAATATCTTGTGCACGTTCCCTTGGTAGCATTTTACTTTTAATACAAAAGGTCTGCATGCCAGTGATACCATATCAAAATGATCTAAAACTGTTTCTAACCAATCAAAAATACTCCAACATATGAAGGTTTGAGTGGTTAGCAAAGTTAGCATAATTAGCCTCACATTTCTAAGCCATTCTCTATTAATAGTCATTTAAAAACAGACACATTCATCTGATTAAATGATATTTTTACAAAACTTGAGTTGTAAGTATGTAATAAAAGTTATTCAATTGTATATTTTGGCTTTAAAGTTTAGCATAGTCATTTGCAAATGCCTTGTAAACGTTCTTGTGGTAGCATTAGCAAAGACTATAGAATACACAAGACATGTCACTTGTATAGTTTTGAATGGGGAAAGTGTAACAGTCAATATGGCGAATGAAGCCCCGCCTACTAATACAAGAACTAATCAGTGATTGCTACAGACAGACATTTCTCCTTAGGAGGGGCTGGGACCAGGTGTGAATTTTTGCAGATTTTGTGTGACTCAAACGTTTAAAAATGAAAGTAAAGAGACAGTTGTTGCTTAATGTAATTGTTGTTACATAATATAAAATTTAATCGTAAGCTTGGCAAGCAATTTTGGAGAATTTGATTATTCCCCATTCCAACTGAATGTGCGAGCATACTGCCCGAGAGGTGCTTCAAAGATGGCCACCGTGTGAAATGACTTGCCTTAAAGGGACTTTGGCATTAGCCAGTAAGCAAGATTCAAAATGAGTCACTTCATATTTACAGCTCAGCTAATAAACCAAAAACAATGTTTACATTTAAAATAATAATGATAAGTCACCTGTGTGTGGAGCTTTTCGATTTGCTTTTCGTTGACATTTGGCTGCTGGTACACTCTGCTCTTGTAGCGAAACTGCAACATTTAATCAGAGAGAAAAACATAGTCAGTTTATTAGTTTACATTTTTCAATAATCATCATTCTTAACCAAATATACACTCAGGTCTATACATATTTTATTTAGGGAAAAAAAGGGACATAAGGGGAAGAGAAAAAAATACAAAAAAAAAAAAGAACAAAGCGGTTGTCATATGGGTTACAAAATCAAGTTATAATACATTTGAAGCACAATATCAGATATTGTTTACAATAGCTAAGTTTCCATCCACCCCTTTGGATATGCAAATAAAAAAATGGTTGATGGAAACGCCAAGATGGGCATATATTTTGAAAATGCGCATACAAAACGTAAACTGCATAACGTATACTGCATAACTGTGTTGGATAAACTTTTTATTCAATAAGAAAAGATGCGCATAAATTACGATGGAAACCCTTTTACAGAACAAATTACAGTATGAGCATTAAAAAAGGTCATGTGATCATTTTATAAGAGACCATGTGATGATAAAAATGAGTGCGAATGGACAAACCAGCAGGCTGAGCACATTGTAAACCATCTGAAAAGTTGTTTTAGTCATTCTAAAACACCTTAACCATCTCAGTATTAGTGTTATTATATTATAAATGACCTCCAGAATCAAGAGCCTGTGCTCTGCGTCTCACGCCTTCAAACGCCACCGCATGTTAATTGCATGTCAGGATTGTCTTCTGAGGTGCAAGTCATTTATTAAATGAAGAAAAGATTCACGCAGCTTCACTTATCTAAACAAATTTCGTGTTAACTGTTGATATTTGGCGCCAGTTAATCAGGAAGTGCCGATTTTGTTCTCTTTGACTTGTTGGATCGAAACGCTGCTTTATTCGCACATCTCTTATGCAATAATCCATAAAGTAAATTTGCATTTTTGGATGGAAACAGCATGCTCAGTCCATTTTGCCAATACTTGTTGCACTTTTTGGAATCAAGTGTTAGGTTAAAAGTCAGTCTCTCCATACAGTGTATTTACTATTTCTATCCATTGAGCCCTTGTTAAAGAATCAACCTGAAACCATTTTTAAGTTATGGCTTTTCTGCTACTTACTAAAAATATTAAAATTAAGCCAACACAATAGGTTTTAATTGAAACAAACAATATGTGCTTTAGCTGCAGACTGTCAGCTTTAAGTCAATGGTATTTACATCCAAATCAGGTGAACGGTGTAGGAATTACAACAGTTTGCATACATGCCTCCCACATGTTATTGGACCAATAGATGGTGTATAGAGCCAAAAATGTTTGAATGGTTTCGATGTCCTAATATTTATTGACCTGAATGTATATTTGTATATACTTTTTATAAACTTTTAACTTGCATAAACATAAACTATATGTTATAATATAACATATAATACTCAATTAATTATATAGAAATTAACTCTAGTTACCCTAGTAGTAACTGTAAAAATAATAATATAGAAATAGTTAATACTTTTCATACAAAAAAGAGAGGATCTTTGTATGGCAGATTTTACATCAATCAGATAGTTAAGTAAACTCGAAATTATAGTCTATACTATGGTAGCAACATATTGCTGTCACTAAGAAGGAATACAAATATTCTTTATGTTTTCTGAATTGTTTATATGATATTTAGCACAAACAATATTCTAAAGCAGAACAATGTTTCATTATACTCCTCTATTTTTTGCTGCGTCTCTGATAGTGGTATGATTATATTAGGGCCTGGGGCTTGAATGAACATACGGGAAAAGTACAAAGGTTTCTGTTTCACCAGCCTGACATCAGCCATTTCACAGGGAAAAAGGCTGAAGAGAGACTCCTGTACAGAAAACACTTCTTAAAGAAGGACAGAAGCTCTATGACGCTCCACCAGCGGCAATTCACAGCAGTTACCATCACTGTCAATGCCATTTGATTCTGTCATTGTGATTATCCTTGACACAAAAACTAAATCTATTATTGGACATTTGTGGTACATTTATGCTATTTTGATTGCTGCTATTATTTATCGTTGAATAAAACAAAATGTTTCATTTAATGGTACATAAAAAAGATTATAAAATAATAATAAAATAATTGTAAAAAATGATATGTAATTCACAATAAATAAATGTAAAAATTAATCTGATTCTCCTGGACACACATAAGGAATATATGTGATCATTTTTACTCACAATATTACTTTCTAAATTGAATTAAGTGATTAATAAATGAGAAAATAGTCTTGATTTGTACATTCATTCATTCATTTTACTGCGGCTTAGTCCCTTTATTCATCAGGGGTCACCACAGAAGAATGAACCCCCAACTTATCCAGCATAAGTTTTACACAGCGGATGCCCTTCCAGCTGGAACCCAGTACTGGGAAACTTCCATTTACACTCATTCACATACATACACTATGACCTATTATTTAATTAACTTATACCGCATGTGTTTGGACTGTGGGGGAAACCGGAGCACCCGGAGGAAACCCACACGAACACAGATATGCTAACTGACCCAGCCAGGACTCAAACCAGCAACATTCTTGCTGTGAGGCGATGGTGCTAACCACTGCACCACCATGTCACCCCCCTTGGTTTGTTTAATTGGAAAATTAATTAAAAATAACGGATAAAAGAATGACAATAAAATAATAAAAGCTATTTGGAGTAAGTAAACACATAATGAATAACTATAAATTATTTAAAAATTTAGGAAAATAACTTTACAACATAGATTATACAATAAATTAATTATTTAATTATTTATGTAATTAACACACATGGTTATATATTGATTTATATTATTATTTGAATTAACTACTACTGTTTGTGTGACACAAAAAACATCAACATGACGTCATTTTAACTGTTAAAAGCAAAAACTAAAATTAAAAGACACTTAAAATCAAATGAATAAAATGATAAAATTGAATAATATAATGATCATAATAATGGACGAGTTAATTATAATTTTTTTTATTTTCTTTTTTCTAATTATTTTTTAGGGACTTTTCACCTTTTATTGGGATAGGATAGTGGAGGACAGACATTGGAAGCAGAGAGAGGTGAAGGATTGGCATAGGACCTTAAGCCGGGCATTGAACTCGGGTCGCCATAAATTATTATTTATAATCATTATTTAATAAAAAATGAAATATAATTTGTTATAATTTATTTATTTAATTTCATTTGATATTTACTGTATTGTTCAGGTTGGTTATCCAATATTTTGATTTGCATAAAAACGTTAATAGTTTTTGTTTATAGTGCTCAATATATAGCTTTCTCAATTGAACTAAGTAGCTAATAAATGAGAAAATGGTTTTGATTTGTACTTTTAATTGCAAAACAAATATAAATAACAGATTAAACAATAAGAATAATAATATTAAAAGCTATTTAGAGAAATAAACACACAATGAATAATTTAAATAATTATTCATTATCATTCATGTTGTCCACAGAATACAAGTCTGATTATTACCTCAATTGCTATATAAAAGCAAACAAAATTAACAAATAATTAATTTTAAAGTAAAATAAATTTGATTGCTTATATTATTGTTGTTTAAGTTGATCAGCAAAAACACTACACAACTACACACTACAGCAAAAACACTACACAAAAACTACACAAAAAAAATTGAAGAAAATAATTTTACAATATAGATGATAAAATAAATAATTAAATTGATGAATTATTAAAGTAATCAACAAACATTTATATGGTGATTCATATTAGTTATATTTATACATTATATACTTTATATTATTATTTAAAATAATAAGTTTGTTTTAATTGGCACAAAAAAAAATCATCATGACATAATTTTAATTGTTAAAAGCAAAACTAAAATTAAAAGAGATTTAAAACTGATTAAATACAATGAAAAAAATAATTATGATAATAATTAACGTGTTAATTATTAAATATAATTACTATTTAATAAAAAAATAAATATGAAAATAAACAATAAAGCGAATGGACATCATTTTATTTCTTTATCTACTGTTCATGTTGGTTTCCCAATATTTTGACTTGCATAAAAACTTTGTTTAAAGTAATGCAACAGTCTACACTGATAATATACTTGCAAATTTCAAAACACAAATTCAATCTTCTACATTTGAAAAAAAAAAAAAAAAAAAAAGCACTTCAGTTGATTATTTTGTCAGCTTTAAAGCAACCCAAATCCTTCTTTTAGTGCCTGGATTGGACTGTAGTTCAAGCCAGATTAACTTCTAGTTACGCATCAACCGGCGTCATTCCTGTGGATGTTTGTGGAAGCGCTTTTTTGCAGATAGTGATGTCTCGTGTCCCTTTCTGGCATCCTTGCACACATTGTGGCAAAGTTACATCATGGATGGAGCGGAAAACAAGCAACCAGCTGTGTTCCCCAGTTAGGGCCAACTTGTGCGGGGCTATACTTTAACATTTACCTTATCCTGCATTCAGGCCATTTTCACTTTTTCATATAGCAATCTGCAATAGAAAGCAAGCTAACAAAAAAAATACTTCATTGTTGACATATGGTAACTAGCTGTCAGTCGTCAATATTTTTGATATTCCAGCCCCAAACCCTCATTATGTTATGCTATTTGAACTAAAACAAACAACAGATGCATCAGCATATGCGCTTGCAGTGTTGCCATGTCCACAAATTTTAAGCTTCTATGGGCTTGTTGATTAGTCTTATAAATATAGAAAGTTTATTAGAGATATTAAAGTGGCCAGACGCAGATTATTATCTATATTGAGCATTTCAAATAATTTGTACTTGTTTGCTGTTTTTAAAACCAAGATCTAGCAACACAAATGAGTTTTAAGAACATTAACATTTATTCATTTAGCAGGCATTTTTATCCAAAGACTTAAAAGTGAAGATAAAGGAAGAACTGTAATATAATTATTATGCTGATTTCACACCAGACGCAGCTTGCTAGAATAAATTATGCTATTCGCACATAAATAGGCGCAGTGACCATTTTGAGTTTACTCATTTGTTTTTCATTCGCACATTAAACTTGCTTCACTTGCGAGTCAAACTCACTTCACGGATTCGCGTCATAAGCAGAGCTTCTGTCTTCCCAGTGACTCTAACTTTGTTGCTAAATGGCTAACATGGATTTAATTAAAAGAGTAGCTGTGCTTTATGTGCTTTAAGAAGGCTGAAAAACAGCATAGAGTTCTTCAGCGCCATATCTGAGTCCAGTAGATCCTTTCAGAGGTGCACCCAACTCTGTGAGTTCATGAACTCCTCCAGAAACTACACCTGGATGATGGTGGCTTTCAGCTGTGCTTCTGACTGCACCAAGCCCAGTTTGATGAACTGTTGTCTGGTGTCGGCAAGAGGATCACGCCTCTACAAGAGACACCTCTTGATTGGTTAACGCAGCACGAATGTCTGCTGAAGTTCGGATTTTCTAACTCGACATGACTTGCGTTAAGTGTTCCAACTCATGCTGCTTCATTCATGCGAATTGCGTCATTTGCGCTGCCTCATTCACACGAATCTCGCCACAGAATGTTTATTTGCGTCTTTGCATTGACTGAACATGTAAATCACTCGTATTTGACGCTTGATCCACGCCTGGTGTGAATCAGTATATAAATGCTAAGTTTTAAAATCAAAGTTAGTTTTAAATTCTTTAAAAACATGTCTTCTGCTGATGGTCAAGCCCACTCACTAGCATAGAGCACACTCAGAATCGCACAATGTTGATTATAAACTGTCTGTTGCATAAATGAAAAATGGGTAAACGTGTTCATACGTGATGGAAACACATTTACCAAATAAATTCCTTAAAGATGCAGTATGTATGATTGAGTATTAGGTATTGCAGTCCAAATTCAAAATATTGGATGAGGTTTTTTTCATCAAGCCCCTCCCTCTCTTACATGACGCACACATATGGGTTTGCCAGATTGACGACACCAACAGATATCGAGCATGCCTGATCAAGCCTTAGACTTAAAGCTGATCAGCTAATGTTTAAATTTATGATATTTGAATTGTTTGCAAAATAAAAGAACATTCATGGATTTTAATAACTTTGAATCTGCATCTCATTATGGATATAATTGGCAGTGGGTGGAGTTACACAAATCAAAACAAAGACGGATTCTGACAGAATTCACATTTTCGAAAAAAAAAAAGAATATCTGACTTTAGCATTGTTTTTCTGATAAACATTATTCATTTACAATGTTTCTTAAATATCAGCAAACATTTTTTTTAGAATTTAGAAAAATCTAAATCTAACAGCACCTTTAATATGCACAATTTTGCCTCAATCGAAGATTTTTTTTCTCAACATGCAGAAACGATTATTATTCTTATTCTTATTCTTTACGTATATATAAAGACTACATTTTATGTACATTTTAGATAACATTTTATGTATAATTGTATTTATTGTAAATTCTTTCTCAAAACTCCACTTTTTGTTTTAATTTTACATGTTAGGCACCTAGGGTCTGAGAGTAACGTAATTTCGATTCTCTATATGTGTCACATAACCAGCGATTGCTCTCCAGAGACACACGAACACTTAGGACTACACTTCCGCTTTCCCCTGGACTACATATTCATACATGCTCTCCTGTTACACTCACGCATGCTCACTCATCAAGATTGATTACACTCTCACCAGCTGAGCCTTGTCAGAGACTGATTACACACCCTACATAAACCACTTATTTACTCATCCAGTTTGCCGAGTCTTGTTAGCTGTTTCAGTTTCATTACAACGCGGTTCTACCTGTCTTGTTTCTCCGTGTTAGACCCTAGCCTTGTTTACCTTTGTTCTCCTGTTTAGCCGCCTGCCTTTAGATCAGGGGTGTCAAACTCAATTCCTGGAGGGCCGAAGCCCTGCACAGTTTAGTTCCAACCCTGCTCCAACACACTAACCTGTAGGTTTCAAACAAACCTGAAGGACTCAATTAGTTTGATCAGGTGTGTTTAATTGGGGTTGGAACTAAACTGTGCAGAGCTGCGGCCCTTTTGGAACTGAGTTTGACACCTGTGCTTTAGACCTATTGCCCGTTTATACGACTACGATTCTGGACTGCCTGAAAATACCCGTTTGCACCTGTTTGATCTTTGCTTGCCTGACGCTGAATAAACCTGCATTGTGGATCTTACCTCCTATTGTCTCTGTCACTCCCCCCGTTGTTACAATATGTCCTGTACATGTGGTTAAATTGACAATAAAACTGACTTAGACTTTGATAAAAACAAGACATTTTTGTCAATGCAGTTATTAATGCACAATTCCAAATATAGCTTTTGGACATGGGGGAACTGGTATTACCTAATAGCACGAAAATTAGAATTATAACTTTGTATGGAAACATTACACACCTACAGTAGTACCACAAAAGCATGATATTTTTGTACTGTAAATGAATTCCAAGCAAATGTCAACCTTGCCATAAAAGAATTAGGTTTTTACCGAAATAGGGAAACCTAGTATTTTAAAGCAATTGAAAAATAATCAAAAATGTCTCTCTCAATGTTTTCAAACAATTATATTTGATCTACCAATGTCACACAAGAGGCAATTTCATATCTGCCACATCCATAACAAGGCTCTTTCCTCATAAATGCAGAATAAAATAAAATAAAATCAGTCATGTTTGTTCTATAGTGAGCCAAAAATGTTTCTTTTGGGTTGTGCAGTTTAGATCACAGAATTCTACAAAGTATGCTTGTGGTCATAATTTTTGGTAAGATCCATAAGGCATGTTTATTTTATATATATATATTTTTGGATTTATATTTTTCTGATCCCTTAACTCTGTGGTTAGTTGTTTTGGAAAATATAAACAGATGTTTCAATATAACATGTGAATTTAGGTCTTGAGTTTTTACTGCAAATATCACATCCGTAATGCTGGAACTGCTCAAATATGGTTTGTCTTCCATTATTGCACAATTCCAAATGTAGCTTTTGGACATGCTGAAACTGGCATTACCTCAAGAGTGGGGATGCCTTTAGTGGAGGATAGCGGATAGTCTCTGAGCAGCCGCTCTTCTTCCAGGAATCCGCTTTCCCTGCCGTCCACCGCCGGCTGGAAGAGGCCGTAGTTGAGCACGTCCCGCAGGCTCTGGGTGAGGGTACACAGGATCTGCTGCTTAGCAACCCACACGGTGGCATCAGGACTGAAGCGCATGGATTTCTGGCAAAGAGAGAGACGCTTTATCAGGCTGTGGCAGGTGTACAGATTAACTCGGAGAAAACATTTGTGTGCTCTAATGGAGAGAAAGGAGAGAGCCAGAAAAGACAACGCAGACTGAGGCTGTTGACTGACAGGATGACATTTTGTAAGTAAAACAGAAGATTAAAAGGGTTATGTCATAGATTTCCACTTTCAACTTTCTTTTTTGTTTGACTTGTATAAAAAGTAGTAAATGAAATGATGCGGTCACATTTTTCTGGCAAAAATCTACATGCAAAATAGTGTTGCGATATATAACAATGTTGTTACTTTCAAACCAAGCAGCTTTCAGTCAATCTGCAACTTAAAGATGCATTAGGCAATATTTTGTCCAAATGGTGTTGATTTTTGAAAGCACCACAACAAATGACCCATAACCCAACAAGAACTCGGACCGTTTTTATATCTCTGCTCTTGCTACAAGAAACGCCCCTAACTGCTGATTGGCTGCAAGTGTGTTTGGGTACACTTCAAAAATAGTTTTTATTACTTAGATTTTTGACTTGTTTCTAGTCCAAAAATCTACTAATTTTTGAAGTAAGAAGCATTTTTTAGACAAGCAAAAATATTGTCTTGTTTTAAGAAATAATGTGCAGAGATTGACTGAAATTATTAAAAAAATGATATAACTCTAGGTGACTTGAGCCTTGAGTGTTCTTTTAACTTTTTACACAAACACACACACACACACACACACACACACACACACACACACACACACACACACACACACACACACACACACACACATGTACATAATCTATAGTTTCTTAAACTTCAATAGTGACATTTATATTAAAATGTATAGCATGGGTGGCACGGTGGCGCAGTGGTTAGCAATGTCGCCTCACAGTTAGAAGGTTGCAGTTGGCATTTCTGAGTGGAGTTTGCATCTTCTCCCCATGTATGTGTGGGTTTCCTCTAGGTGCTCCGGTTTCCCCAGAGTCCAAAGACATGCGCTATAGGTGAATTGGATAAACTAAATTGTGTACAAAGTATTTGTTTATGTGTGTGTAAATAAGTGTGTATGGGTGTTTCCCAATACTGGATAGCAGCTGGAAGGGCATCCACTGCATAAAAACATATGCTGGAATAGTTGGTGGTTCATTCCGCTGTGGCAACCTCTGAAATAGAGACTAAGCCGAAGGAAAATTAATGAATGAATGAAGTGAAGCAGTTTCAACTGGACTAGAAATACACCAACCTTCTACATTACTCTCCTGCCTGCCTGAATTGCTGGAATTTGAAAAGTTATGGCGTTTACTCTTATTTCTTTATCTAGGTTAAGCTTTGACACAATTTGCATTGTAAAAAGCGCTGTAGAAATAAAGATGAATTTTATTAAAGAAGGAGGCATGGTGGCTCGGATGTTAGTACGGTCACCTCACAGCAAGAAGGTCGCTGGTTCAACTTTTTTATTCATTCCACTGTGGGACCCCTAATAAATAAAGGACTAAGCCGAAGCAAAATTAATAAGTAAAGAAAAAAGTTGTTATAAGGATGATTTAAGTATTTGTTATTTTGTATGAACTAGCCTTTTAGGATTACTTACGCTATGTTGTAGCTTGTTGATATAGAAAAGGTTAAATGACTCTGAACTTTCCTCATGTAAAGCATGACAATGTAATTTTCTACTTTGCGTCTGTTAAATAGGTCAGAAATACTTGTTGGCTCTCCCAGTTGCATACTGTCCATTTTTTTAGTCTAATAAAACCCAAACAGCTCTCCAGAGAAGATAAACAGTATGAGGAGTGCAATTTACTGTAATAATACAATTTAGAAAGATCCATACTTCCCAGCAGCGTGTGTGTGTCTGTTTTAGAGAGTGTGTGTGTTTAGAGTGTGTGTGTACGCACAGACTGCTGCAGGTCAGGGATGACCACACAGATGAGCGTAGTGTTGTTGTCCTGACGGCCACTGGTCGGTCGGTCCAGCCTCGGAGGCTCATCTCGGGAGCTGTCTGAGTCTGAACTGACCGAGTCGGAAAAACTCTGAGCCATTTCCTCCTCACTAGACATGGGGCTCCGCGGCATGATCCAAACTGCAAACACACACACAGAAAGAGAGAAACTGATTAAAATTCATCAATTATGTATTATCATAATTGTGTATTATCATAATATTATCATAAATGACATAAGCACACATTGGAAAACAAAATATTAACCAATGTTAAAACAAATACTGTACAAAAATAAATAATAATATAATACAATATAAAATAATTATAGTTATAAAATAATAATAATATAATTAAATAATTAAAAATGAAATAAATAATTCATAAAAGTTAAACATTCAAATTAAATAATACTAAAATCAGAAAATATCATACATAGCCAAAAAACAATAATAAATAATAAAAAATATATAATAATAATAATAATGACAATAATAATAATAATAATAAATTATATTATTAATAAAAGTTGTTTAAACAAAAACATAAAATAATACTAAAACAATAAAAGTAAACAAAATGTGAATATAATAATAATAATAAAAATTAATATAATATAAAATAAACTATTATAATTATAAGATATTAATAAAACAATAAAACAAACAAATAAAAAAATAAATAATAATAATAACAACATAGAAAAGAATGTAATAATAAAATATAATATAAAATAACTATAAGAATATATATATAAAATAATAACTAAAATATTAAAAACATTTTTTAAATTTATTAAAGTTTAAATAAAAAATGTATAATACTTAAACATGAAAAAGTAAAAAAAATGAATATTAATAGTAATAATAATAATAATTATTATTATTTTATAATAAAAATCATACATAGCCAAAATAAACAATAATAAATTATAAAAAATACATAATATATTATGATAAAAACAGCAATAAATTAAATTATTGATTAAAAAAAATATCAAATAATACACCATAAAAAGTAAACAAAATGTAATAATACTAATAAATGAATAAATAAATAAATAAATAAATGATAACAAAATAAAAAATAAAATAATAATAATTTTAAAAATATAAAATAATAAAATAACAAAAAAATACTAAAACCATAAAAAGTGAACAAATACATAATAATAATAATAATAATAATATAATAAAAAATCATACACAGCCAAAATAAACGATAAATAATAAAAATATATAATAGAACAATAATAAAATAAAAATAAATAAAATAAAATTATTGATAAAAGTTGTTTAAACAAAAATAATAATTAGTACTAAAACCATAAAAAGTAAACAAAATTCAGTGATAATAATAATAAATAAATACATAATAATAATAATAATAATAATAATAATATATGAATAAATTTAATACAATTTAAAGTAAAACCAAACATAGCTAAAATAAGCAATTTTATTAAATAAACAAACACTACACGGCCCAATAAAGGCCTCTGTGTTTGACTTGGAATAATGTGCATCGATTAATCATGCACAGTAAAACCAGGAACACATTAATATTGTAATGAGGATTCATTTTGATATTCTGTTGACTTGAGTGTTTGTAATTCCCTTACATAATATTAGCGTATTGCTGTCTGGCCATTTAGCTCCATCTGTTTGTATCTGCATGGCCTTTCATGATTTCTCAGGGTTCAGAAAATGTTTCTAAGCGTGTTTGTATTTCGTCTACTCTACGCTCAAATGTCAGACTGTATATCACGCCATTTTAATATTACCTTTCTGTAGCTTGCAGGAGTAATTGAACTGACACTCAGCTGAGGAAAACTGAGGAAAAAGTGCTTGTTTATCAAAAACTTAAACAAAATTAAAAGAATAATCTGTGATATGGAAAGTAATTCAATTAAATTAATATTTAATAAAATAAAACATCTTGCAAAATAAAATAATAATAAAACAAAATAAAATAATAAAACAAAATATATGAAAAAACAGTACTAAATAATAATAAAATATTAATAAAATAAAAAATAATAAAATACAAAACAATACAATTTAGAAAATAACAATAAAACACAATAAATAATAAAAAAATTTAATAATAATAAAATAAATTAATTACAATTAAATAATAATAAAATAAAATTAAATTCATGTAAATTAATATTTAATAAAATAAAACATTAGCAAAATAAAACATGAGTATAGTTTTAGTGAGGTCTTGCAAAATAAAAAATTTAATAATAATAAAATTAAATAATAATAATAATAAAGCAAATAATAATAATAATAATTATAAAATAATAATAATAGTAAAAATTATATTATTATTAATAATAAAACAAAATAAGTAATGATTAAATAAAATAATAATAATAAAAAATAATAATAAAACAAAATCAATACTAATAAAATAAAATTATAATACATTAAATTAAATTAGCTGGAATATGAAATTGAAACCAATAATGTTACAAAAATATAATTTTATGAGAGAGAATATCACTATTAACTAAAGAGACTAACTAGGACATGCTAAACATGAAACCAAGCCAATATTACATAAATCAATGGTCAATATGATCAAAAAAATCTAAATAGCATGCAACCACTGAGACTGTGCATTTTGAAGCTCATTTTTAGCTCAGTTCTAAATCCCACTTTATTGAGCTCAAAGACTTCTGGACCCTGTTGTATATTTTACTGTCTGTTATTTATTACATCGGCACACAGGTTTCAAAAAGGGCCAGATGGAGCTGTTTTCTGTGTCCTGGGTGAGACATACGCCATATTTCTCAAGTGTACACAAGCATTTAGAAAAGCACAACAGGGTTTTTGAATGGCAAACAAAATGCCTGAGAGTCTGGGAGGAACGAATGCCAAACCATATCAGACAGAGAACAAAAAAGCTCAGACAGTAACTAAAGCAAAGAGGTCAGGTGAAATATCTGACGAACAGCACTTGGAGCTTCACAAATAATAAAATTGACCTTTACGTGCTGCACTTCTTGGTAATGCTAAACTACTGCAGTGTGTGTAGGTGGGCTAATAACTGATATTGTAGAAAACGCCGCAATATGATGATTAAAGGGGCTTCGGTGTAAGAATATGTTTGTGTGAGGTGTTGCACAACCTAGAAACTATCAGCCATCTTATGTAATGTGCATAGTATGAAGTGAAAACGCAAAACAGACTATGATTGTTGGCAAAACTGAGTCCAAAGTTTTGTTTTAAATTTGTGTAATAATGAGCAGAAAAACATCAGACGTTCTAGTGTCTCTCTCCAAGTGGCAAACAAAACAAAATCAAACTATTTTAAAAAGACATCTGCTATGTACGGTGAGTCAAAAAAATAATGATAATTAATTAGGATGAAAGCTTTAGAGAAGCAACACAGTGGCTCAGTGGTTAGCACTGTCGACTCAAAGAAAGAAAGTTGCTGGTTTGAGCCCTGGCTGGGTCAGTTGGCATTTATGTGGAGTTTACATGTTCCCCCCATGTTTGCACAGTCCAAAGATATGCGGTACAGGTGAATTGAATAAGCTAAATTGCCTGTAATGTACTGTATGTGTGTAAATGAGTGCATATGAATGTTGGAAGGGCATCCACTGTTACAACTTATGCAGAATAAGTTAGCGGTTTATTATGCTGTAACGACCCCTGATAAATAAAGGGACTAAGCCAAAGGAAAATGAATGAATGAAGACTTTGGAGGGGTCCATGGAGCAGAAAGGAGCCAGGGAGAGAGCCAGATTGAAATGATAATGCCAGGTTCACACTAAATGTAATGTGAAGACCATCCTGCGGGTCTAGACATGGCTATAAATAGGATTGCTGGTATTTACCTGTTGTTGAAGTCCCCAATCTAGCGAAAAGACAAATGACAATTTGCTAGTTTGAACACTTTGAAACTCTTTACAGCTGGTGACCTCGAGCTAGCTAGGGTTTTGCTGACAGGATATCTCGGATGGGCAGTAAAATCTATAGATCAGGGATGCCCAAACTCTGTCCTGGAAGGCCGGTATTCTGCAATTTTTAGCTTCCGCTTGCTTCAACACACCTGCCAAGAAGTTTCTAAGGGCGCACTCACATTAGGTACAGTTGCCTTGAACCGTGCCAAAGCGCAATTTCCCCCTTTCTCTCAGCCTGCACTCACATTGCATTTTTACCAAGTGGACCACATCATCGATGATGCAACTGTTCGGTTTAACAGGCAGAGAAGTGCTCTCGCTCAGCACAGGTGAGTTTGCTTTTAGTTATATCATTTTGTTTTATTATTAGTCGTTTAGCATGCAGTAACAGGCAGTAAAACACTTTGCCGAACAAATTCACCACTTTTGACGCTCATAAATTATCATAACGTTCTTGTGCTACAGGTATTGGGAGATTTCCTGAAGGTGCAGCTGATGTGCAGCGAGGGGTTTGCATCTTTAATAAACTACGACAGTTTGTGTTCATTGATGTCCATTGTTGCCCTGAGGAAAATCATCTGTTATCACCCATATACATTGACTCTGTATGAAACTTATCATGTAAATACTTAATTCCATGTTTGGTGTGAACCTAGGTCAGGGTTGTCAAACTCAGTTCCTGGTAGGTCACAGCTCTGCACAGTTTAATTCCAACCCTAAGTAAACATAAATCAAGCGTGTTGGAGTAGGGTTGGAACTAAACTGTGCAGGGCTGTATCCGTCCATGAACTAAATTTGACACCCCTGATCTAGCATAACAATGGCGAAAGGTAATGTTGATGGTGGCAGAACCCATTCCCATTTATTTGAGGGGGAAATGAAGCCAGTATAAGAGAAGCCTTGGGAAAAGATGGAGACCCACAGGGTCAGGGTGACATTGAAGGTCCTGCTGGCAATAGCAGAACTGATGCCTCATGCTAAGAAACAGGGACTGAAGTAACTGAGGAATGAGGTGGACTCAAGCAGAAAGAGCCCAACAGAACCAGGGGGATGGAGGGATGTGGCACAGCCAGAAGTGTGGAATCCTGATGAGGAGACAGGTGGACAACTGACCAGGGCAGATCCAGAGGGACAAGTGACCCCTCAGAGCTGGCAGGCTGGTGAGCCATGGCGGAAACAAGTAAGCATGAAGCTAAGGTGGAGACGATCACTTGAAG